GTGTATTTCATTGAATACATGTATAAAGTAACATGTCATAAGTTACATAGAGGAAGCGTGAATGAAAATATTTTTTCTAATATCTTCTAATTATCTAATATAATACCGTGGAGAATTGAAAAATTCTCCATTTAATTTAACTCGTAATAGCAGATGAACTGTTATTGATGTTTCTTTATTCGCCGAATTTTCTAAATTCTCTGAGGTATTAACAATTGGATTAAGCATTTCTTTGAACCGTTTAATACATTCATGTCTAAAAACCTACCTAGTTTAACATAGCAAAAAATTTAATTTAATGTTGGATTAAATAGTATTTTGTGTTTGTATAGATTCTTATAATTCCAGTCCATTGAGCTGAACCTCGAAAAAAAGAGTAAATACTTATAACACTCCCAACGAAATTTCTTATAGCAGTAATTGTACATGCATCACTAATGGCTAAATCCAATTAGTATGCACTAAAATACAAAATAAAACTCATGAAAATGTGCGTCTTATTATTGCCTAAATCCCATTTAAATGTCCATTCATTGCTGAAGTTTTTTTTTTTATATATGTCTCGGATACCTTTTATTTATATAAACTATATATATATATATATATATATGCTATACAGCTTATTCAAATTAATTATGTTGAAGTTTAAAAATATAAAAATAAAACCCATAAAAATATATGTCACTACTACATGATTGTTTCGCGTTACCCATCCATATAAATATAAAAGTCTATCATTTATATACTTATATAGTATACTTAGGTTCTAATTTTATGGTAACTAAATATACATAATTGGAAATTCAAATTATTATAATTATATTTTAATATATGTAGTCGGATATCTCCGTTTAGTATGTTTTCTGGTCCTGTATAAGTAAACTGGTGTTGAAGAGTGTGTATTCAATTTAACTAAAACACAAATATTATTATAACAGGTTAATAGTAATAGGTAATAGCATTACCGTATTACAATAATTGTAATATACTATATATGTTAGGTTAGGTTAGGTTATTAAAATATAATTATTATATTTAATTATTAAATAATTCATATTTCACTATAATACCACAAGGAAAAATAATAAATTTAAAGCATATAGTAATAATCGCCCTGGCCAGGGCCGGTGAGAGAGTAAGGCAGGGAGGTCTAAAGCCCCGGTGCCCGTATCTCCGAGAGAGCCATCGTCGTCTCAGTCTTCATACAAAATTATTTTACAATCTAATTTTGTGTAGCATTATATGAAAATTTAAACATTTTAATTTCATTAAAGTATGTACAAGCATGTATAAGTAGTATGTAAATCTTGGCTGTACAAGTATAAGTAAAGGGGGCCTGGAACCGATCAGCTCCGGGGCTCTCAAAAGTTCTCGTCGGCCCTGAATCTGGAAATACTATTTGCATGGTCATGGGACACAATAAGGTTTCGGTTACTTATGTGAACACTGGTTACTGTATTAGTATCATTGGTATTATTATAATATATTTGCTAAAACGTATTTTATACGAAATAGATATTAGAGTGATACTATACTAGAATTTTAAACCAGCGATCATAAATTGCTGATCAAAAAACATAAAAATATACAGGGCCTAACCAATATGATAACAGCTCCTAACATAACTAAAGACCGGATTTAATTAATATTGCAACTTTTTATTAATACCCGGTAAATCAAATCTGATCAAATATGTATATATACATATATATCGTATACGAATTAGATTAATTAGTCTTCCTGTTTAATTTAATAATGCAATCTTTTGCAATTTTCAACAATTTTGCAATTTTTGCAATTATTACAATTTTTGTATACTCCGAGTGATAAAATATACAAATAATTATTTCCAAAGTGATTGTACAAAAAAAAATATAACTACAACGTAAATTTTTACATGTAGTTAAATGTAGTTTAGGATTTTTAAAGTTATATTTATCTGAGTTATCCACACAACTCACAAGTTTAGAAGAATCAAATATTCTATTACTTAATAGTTTAAATATATTTAGTAAAATTGAAAATATTTTTATAAATATTCCCGTCCCAATGGAAAAATAGTAGATAAATTAAAATATGTCTCAGAAAAAAATGAAGAATATTAAACTATTAAAACTTACTCTGATATTATGACAGGAAATCAAGATGTTTTTTTAGATATAACACCAAATTTTTTTAATTATTTTTTATATGCATCGATAACAAGTGTTGACGATGAACGTACTTTTTCATTATATAACATATTTTAAGTAACAAACAATACAATTTTCAAGAACACAATTTAGAGATATATATAATTTGTAAATATTATATTAATGTCCATAATATTATTTAAGTAAGTAATTAATGGTTATATATTTGATACAAATTTACTATGTAATTTTTATGTATATTTATCTATCATAATATATATAAATATATTTATACTGCAATTTTGATACATTTTCATTGCAATTTTGGCATCTTTTTAGTGCAATTTTAAGATATTTTTAATGCAATTATATCCGAACTTTACTTATAACAATTCACAATATAAAAATAAATGTAAACTAAAAATAATCATATAAGAGCACATAATTCCCCAGCATGTTTATTTTCATCGCATCGGCATTTGGTCTAATCTGCCTGGAATAATCGAATCGTTATTTTTTTATTGAACTAAAATATAGGATTGATTAACCATTAAATGTATAAATTTAATTTATACTTATAAAAATTATATATTTATAAATTAAAAATATATACGTATTTATGCTTTAATTTTGAAAGAAATTGATTAAAGTACTGATTATAAATGATAATAATAATAAAATGAAAAAAAAAATGTGCATGAAGTCATGATAAAAGAGGGGTTTTGGCTCCTTTTCATTAGTTATTCTGATAACATTTATTAACCTATATCTGCCCTTGCCCTTACCATTGTAAGTTGTACCTATATTCATATCTACATATAACTTAGAAATATATTTATAATACACTTATTATTAATTGCATGATATCGCGTAACAGTCATTACATTTAAATTTTACTGAGGAATTAATACGAGATATTATGTTAATATATGTTATAATATTAATTGTCTATCTTTAACATTTAGTTTATAACTATGTGTAAACTTATAATCCTAAATATAAATCAAAATTATTGACGGCTCCGACAGAATCGTCCTCTCCAGTGTTTACTGCAGTTGTATTATATTTTAAAAATACATTTGAGCACTGAAGTCCACTGAAAGAATGTTACGTTATCACTGTTTGTTTTGCTTAAAAACTACTGGAAAGTTATTAAACGTTTTCTGTAACATCTCTAAGATTTCCAGATCTAAAGTATACATATTAAACTGTTGTAAGCAATTTCTTGACCTAATTACTGGCTAACAAAAAGTGTTAATCGAATAAAGCACACAAAGCGCATCGTATTACGAATGCAGCGCATGTAAAACCTGCACCAGCAAGCAATATATTTCGCTCTGCCCGAAATCTAAATAGAATTCGAGAAAGGAATCCACTACTTATATTTCGTCGACTAAGGGTATATAAAAAAACATGGAATTTTTCCATCTATATAATATACATGCATATATTTGCTTATAAGAAGGGGAAAAAAACGTAGAAATTAAAATCAAATGTTATAAATCGCATAATGCGTTTTCCTCAGTCCGATAGTGTATGCTGAACACTATTTTATTAGTTCGGAACGGTCCGGACACTGACAAACAGTAAAATCGGTTCAAACTTAGAATCTTGGATCACATTCATATATATATATATATATCTGTAATGATCATGTAGTGAGACTATTATTGTTAAGTAGATCGTTTCGGTTACACAATCGAATAGACGAGGTACAACGACGTTAAACCGTGGTGCGAAAGGCGCAAGAATAACTTTTCAACAGGTGACATCAACGCGAACGTTATAAATATTTATTTTAAATCCCTAGTGTTAATATTATCCCGGAGCTTGGAAAACCATAAACTCGCAATAACCTTGGCGGTACACGAGTGCGCATCGATATTACAGCCAGGGCCGTCGTTACCTTTTGCGAGGCCCCGGGCAAAACTTATTTTACCCATAAAAATAGTCACCTATAGGTTGTAGGCCGCAATCAAAAGCGATAACATTTACTCAGACTCGATGACAGCTGCACGCGATATCGGGTAGTGCCTGATTAAATTTAAGAAGTGCAATAAAACATATCAATATCCCATACATCCCGATTTCCATACTGTGAGTTGGTGCATACATGACGTGTTAAATATAACATTGTCGTTTTGTTAATTGGTTTTTTATTACACGCCAACGGATTTCTCTAGAAATCGCATTCGCTAGAAGATCCACACGTTTCATTTCATAAGATTTTCGCATAAAATATTTTTCAACGAACATTTTAATCGCGAAGCCCCGGACAAACGCCCCGTTTTACCTAACCCAAACGCCGGCCCCGATTACAGTGACCGAGTAACGCCGGTACAACTCGAAGGTGACACAATAATGTTTAGTCGCTAAGCGTTAAGACCGGGGACAAGTTCACGGGACACAACTGGTGTGCACTCGAAAATAATATACTAATATAATAATATAATTTAAAGACCCATGCGTGGTGTAACCTCAACGGTGTTCGTGGCGTCGCACGCGCGTCGTTCGAACAGCAACAACAACGATAATAATAATGGCACTGGACAAAGGAATAGAAAAAAGTGCGTGCGCGACTGAATATTATGTGCGCGCGAACGCGAAAAGGGCCGTCCGCCGCAGACGCGCCCGTCGGAGACGGAACAGCGCGCCGGGCCGGGCCGGGCACGTAGCCCAAATAATTCCGCCGACTCAGAAACTCGCGGCAGCGGTGGGTCGTCGCGTGCGCGAACCGCCGCCGGGGCGTCGACGCCGCCGCCGCCAATGTCCAGTCCGGTGGGCGGTGACGTCAGCGCGGGCGCTCGTCCAATGAGTGCGGTCGCGCGGACGTGCGCCGCGTCGCGCGGGCCCGTTCGCGGAGACCGCGCGTTACCGATCACTCACCCTGGTGATGTCTCCGCGATAACGTCCGTACCACGGTTATTCCGCCCTCGTCCGTCCGCCGCCGCGTTTCCCCGAAGAGAATAAGATCATCGCCGCGCCGTTCCCGTCCGCCCCGCATCCGCCGCGAGTTCCGCGCGCGCCGTCGTCCACCGGCAGCCGTCCGCGGAGCGTTCGAGTCGCGTCATCACGTCATCGCGCGCGCGCGCGCGCGAGCGCGCGACAGTAACACCGCACCAGCTCCGTCGACACCAGCAACACGGATCCGATAACGTCCGCGGGACTTGTCGTCGTTACGAGGCGCTTATGCCTGTACACCGTCGGTTTTCTTCCACCGTTGTTTGCGTTCAACCGCTTCGGACCCGTCCGGTGCATCGCGTCGTATACCGCGACGTAACCGCGGTACGCGACATACCGTGCCGTGAAAAACGTATCCGAAACGGTGCATCGCCGCACACTTGTCACGCGTCCCGCGCGACCAACACACCGCCACCGTCCGATCGAATCTTGTCTGGTGGCGCGCTACCGTTGATGCGGTTGACCGGCGGCGGCCGTCGATTCCATAGGTCCACGAGGTGCAGGTCACCAGGAGTACTTATATGAGCTACTTTCCGGGCTCCGGCGATTTGGCCGGCACGAGGACAGCGCCGGACGACTACAACGGCTTCGACGCGCACGCGAAAGACAGAGTGAGTTGCCCGTACGGTATACGACCTTCGTACGTTCACGCGCATAGCTAGAAGAGAGGTAGATACCTATTTTTTTTATCATACCCGTAGGGCGCACTTCGCTCTTGGAGGCAGAGTCCCTACCTCGTGAAGTCGTCGTATATCATTCGTGAAAGTAACCTTGCATGTATTACGTACAATAAATAGTATCTAGAAAAACAAATGGTGTTTACGTAGGGAGCGTCGGTTCGACGATTGACGGTAACTTAGTTTTATCTGCACTACGAGTACTATCAGACTTACTGACTTTAGTCGATAGTGTTAAATCTTAAAAGTACCTTTATGAACACTTATTAATCGTTACGTATGGACCCGAGTAAACGTGTTATACATGTCGCGTGTTGTCTTTCGTGCAAAAAACTGATTCCGGGACGCATATATTATCTTTTCACTACGGTTCACCACCGTTTGTTTACAACGTAGTAAAATACTATTTATTGCAATACGTGATGTACACGGGTTCAAAATTTGCACTTTGCTGGTATAATATTTTAATATTACTGCACGCATATTATAGTGCGGTATCTCTAAATTGATAATCTAGTTATTTATATTATAATTTCGTTGGGTAGATTAACTCTTCGCGTTCACATACACGATATTCTATTTAAACACGCGCATATATTATTACTATTATAATATCGTTCCAAAACTGTCGACTGCCTGATGAAGTGTTGCAGTTGTATCGTCGTAGGCATACTGTATATTGTTGTCAACCGACGACGGACGATTCTTTTCCTATGAACGTGTTCTAAAACATAATATTATTAATTTCATCCGTATTAAAAAAAAAAAAAAAAAAAAACTGGCATTGAAAATGATTAGAAAAAGGAAAAAAGAATTCGAAAGAAATAGACGTACCTAGGTGTACATTTTATGTTTTTCTATCTAATTCAACATTGAATATGTGTCATTTATATGACTGAAACGCTCAGTTTATGGACTCTGATGTTCATATTTGCCGTGGTTTTTTGGTATATACAAAGTGTATAATACACTTGATACATTATGATATGGTTTTGTGTTTCGTATAATTTGACTAAAAATATTTAGGTTGTCATATTGCTTATTTTATCATTTTTATCACTCACAATGCACCTGTAGGGCTTCAGTATTTAACTAACGAATATATACAACGCACAACAAAAATTGTATTTATTTATAGAAGAATATTACTTGTTGTAGTTCATGTTAAACTTCAACTAAACGAATATATTAATAACCAATAAAGTAATATAAGTTACAATTGAGAATTACTAATAAACAATTGATATTCAAAATTATATTGGTACATTTTGTTATGTTGAGTTCATAAAGTTAGTTATTACAGCAAATTAATGTATATTGTTAAAGAAAAATACCTACTTATATGTGTACACATATATAAATATCACAAACAATGAAAACTATAATTATGTACAATAGTGAAAAGAGGTTTGAATTACATAAATCCTACAATATACATTATATTTAACTTCAATAGTCTGCACGTTTTATTAAAACCTAATACATTATTAATTAGTCATATCAACGTTTATATTTCTGGGCGATAAATTTTGGTCTTTTACATTCAATATCTTAAAAATAAAGTGAAGAACTGATAATATGAGTGATGCATACATTTAATTTAATCATTTATACACGTAATTGATCACCATGTAAATGTATATAATATTTACAAATAAACCTATTATTATCATAAACTGATTTAATTTTTAGTTTCTCTGAAAAAATTTAACTGTGCGAATGTAACTTTTCAGACACACGATACATTCATATTACAGCAGTGACATCATCACATTGTGTCTATTACAGTATTACGAAACGTCCTATCTAAATACGTTAGCTAGAAGTATTATATTATATATATATATAAAAAAATTTTTTTCAATTTTTCAGTATAGCGTATGCTCGACAATATTTTCTGAAAATTCATACCCTAGCTGGCTAGCGTAAGTGACATAGATATGATACAACCATAATTTTTTTAAAACTTTTTTAACGTTCAATCTCATTGTATTCTACTGTTCCAAAAATACAAGTTATAACCTATGACCTAAATAAAAGCTAAATTTACATTATTGTAATGCAAAAATTATTAGAACTTTTAAATTACCTATACACCTCGTATATAAATATATATATATATATATATATATATATAAATATAGCTTTTTTTATTTATCAATTACAAATATAATATTCATTTAAAGCACTATCTGACCTTTAATAATAAGAAATATTAACTATTTAAAATCATAATTAGTAATATGCACCAGTTAAAATTAAATCAAATAATCAAATATTTATATATATTGTTAACCAATTATATAAAATACAACGGTTATAGAACGATTATAAATGTGTAATAATAAAATTATTAATACTTTAATAATTACTAAAGTTATAATAAAAGTGTTCCTTTTTAAGCATTTGTAAAAAATGCATCATAGGTACAATTGTATAATTTTTCAAAGAAATATTCTAATGTTTTTATACACCTTGTACAAAGTTATAAAATAAAATCTCTAAATGGATTGAATGCTAAGTAATTTATTACTAAACTTTTTCAAATAATCATCTGATAAGGATTAATTAAATTATGCAAATATGTATCTTAGTCATGGTTGAATACATATATATATATAGATATACCTACTAAAAATTTGGATTTGGATACCTTATATATATTTTAGGTATGGTATTAAAATTGTATTTTTCGTAATAATTGTGTAATAATATTAATTTTTACCTCTGCAAATATCAATAATGTATCTATAGTAAATTTTAGTTGCAAAAAAAAATAAAAATCATAAAAAAACATTTTAAGGATTTATGTTGGGCGAAATAGTGAAAGCCATAAATATATTTGCGATTTTAATGTATATTGTTACTTTATTATGTTTATTATTTTTACCTCAATATTTATTATTCCAACATTTAAATGATGGTTTGTATTTGTACCTTAATAATTAGGTACATTTTTAAAATAATTTAAGTCAATTTGTGTTATTAATTGCAATGTTCAAAAACAGTGTTTGGAATAAACGTATACATTTTTTTTAAGAAAATTAAGTTAACTTAAGTAATTAATAAGTTTTCATTATTTTATTTTTGGGTGAAATTTTTATTTTATTTTGAATTTTGTTTTGAAAACTTATTGTAATTATTATATAACTATTTCAAGATGATTGAAATCCTAAACATAGTAAATCATTTGTTTTTGTTTTAATGTTAAGTTTAAGGTACTTGGAGTGAGAATACATAACTATATAAGTATATTGTGTATGTATGTTTTCATTAATATCATATATTTAGTTGATATTGTGTTTATTTTCGATTACAAAAAAGATCGTACCACAATACGTACTCAGTAACCGGATCTAAAAAATGATAATATTAAAGCTAAAGTTTGATCATGTTGTTTATACAAATTTCAAATTATACAAACATTATTACTAACAACTAATGGCAAACATTTATGTTGTGTAATATTGTTAAGAGAGCCTTCGCCAATTATGTTTAAAAAAATTAAGCTGTTATATATAAAAACGTTTTATAAAAACGTTTATATTACATTATATAAATAAATATCTCTATAAAATAATACTCTAATACATTTTAATAATAATAAAAAAATGTCATTTATTATAATTATAATTGGTATAAAAGCTATTTAATAAAATAAAAATAAAATTTGAACTATTTTTAAATTTAAATAACTTTTCTGTTATATAGTATTTTCAGTTAATTAAAAAAATAAATAAATTGATTTATTAAACTAATAATATTCGATTTTCCTGCATTATTGTTGATGTGAGTTCAAATATCAAATCAAAAACTGAATATAAATTAAAAAAACATTTTTAATTAAATTTGTATTTATGTATTTCTATTTAAATGTAAATTAAATTAAATATTAATTATAATTATAATATCTACAAATCTAATATATGATAAAATATTATTAAAATGTTGTGGCATATTTCAAAACACGATTGAATTACTTTTTTAATACAGAGTAATGTGTCGAGTCGTTCAACCAGGAAGGTAAAAACTTATTATTCTTTTACGTAGTCTTATAAACAATTTTGTATCGTATATTTATATTAAAAATCAATTGTTTGCTTAATCTAACCTCTACCTATTAAAAATTAATATTGTTTTGATTGTGATTATTTTATATTTATTATTTAAGCCTAATTGAATAATACCAAATGAGTCAATAAAAAAATTAAATTAATTAAAGTAATTATAGATTTACTTTAAATGTACTTATAGTTAAATACACTTATAATAAATTTAATATATTTACTTATTTACTTAACTTATAAAATCGGTTTTCACTGAGTACTGTATTAATTAATTTGTATATTATGTTATCTCTTTCTATATGTATAAATGTATACATATTTATAGTAAAATGCTGTTTATGAACATTTATCTTTTGGTAAAAAAATGTTATGACTAATGTCTAATTGTCTGTGTGTTAATTAATAATACACTTGTCAGAAGTCAGTTTCAATAATTTAATTCTCAAATTATTATCTATTGTACAATGTTTAAACAAAATATTTCAAGAGCTTATCGAATTCTTAATTAAAATATGTATTTAAAACAAATAATTAACATAACTTACTAACATATACTAACATTTATTTGTATTAATTGTAAAAAAAAAAAAATATTATAATAAATATATATTTCAGAATAATATAAAACCCGAGAATACGTATCTTCAAGATGTTCAAGATGATTGTTTTTACAACACTGAACCAAACACTTCGATGCAAAGTAAGATTTACTTATTTATAAATAAAATATTTAGTTATTTAGTTATACTTTAATATACCAGAATAAATGTAAAACAATTCCTTAATAATATAAAATTATGAAACTGGAGAATAATAATTTTGATTGTATAATATGGTCGCCTATTATTCTAGATCATAACACGCTTATTTCATTGTGACAATTCTACCAATAAATTCATACTGGCTAATATTTTTAATGTTAAATAAAAAAATGGATTTGAAAACAAATATAAAGATGCCCTAAACAGTAAAAAATATTCATAATTTATCCTTAACAAGTTACATTTGTGAGTGAAATCATGGGTAATGTTCGCCTGAATAGGTTTCTGTTTTAGTTTTAGTTTTTATATGTAAACGTGAGTGACCCGAGTGAATGGGTGCGGTTAAAAAAAGTTTTTATTTAATAATTTTTATTTTTTCGTATAGTAGTTTAGAATAATGTGTCACAGACTTATAGAAGAGAGGTGGCCCAGAAATGGCAGTTTCGTCACGTTTCAATCATAACTCAGAGGGGGTGGAGGTACCAGTAGTTGGATCTAGAGGAGACGGGAGAGACGTGTACTTAACAAGAACCATTTTAATGATCTGTTAAACGCCACAACTAGTTCTTTGAATTGAGTGGACACGTCGCCAATCACCACTCACGGGTTAATTTTTAAAAATTTTAAATCGGTATTACAAATGCCTACCACAAAAAAAAACCTAATAATTACTACAAAATATTTAAAGACATAATTAGGATATTAAGATGTATAACATGTTTTTATTCTAAATTTACATTAACTTATTTTAAAAAGTAGTATTATATAGATGTTGAACTGTATATTCATCTTTACTGCTGCAGTAAAGCATATAATTTCCATTATCAATTTTCATAAATATAATATTTATTATTTTATACGACTAATTAAAAATGCATTATGAATAATAATACACAATTTGAACTTTCTATGACTAGATCAATGTATATTATATGTTACCTACTAATTTTCATAATATAACGTATAGGTAGTTATTTAATATTTATGTATACTTTTTGTTTTAAAAAAAATATTTTATATACCTAGATTTTACGACATAAAATCGAAAGAACCCTTTTAAAATCTGTTTCGTTTATTGTCCGTTTTCGGTCGTTTGTTATCATAAGGTTTGTAGTTATAATGCATTATAAGTCAAAAAAATACAGTAATTTTGCAATAAATAATATTTCACTAGACCCAAAAAAAATTTTTAAACACGTTTTGATTTATATGCTGAACGAGTATGTATATAATACATTAAATCTGGTTAGTTTAAATTTCAATCATAAGTTATTTCTCTTAACTCATTACTAAAATTATTTGGACGATAATATTTATGGTTGATTTAAAATTTACTTAGGAATAAAAAAATAATTCTATAGATAATATTAAACTTGTGAAAACATAATGGATCTAATGTTTACAAATTCCAAGTACCTATATTATAGTTCAATAATTTTGCGTGTAAAAGTAATATTTTATTCCAACTCAGGTGATGATACAGATATAAACGCTAACAATACCAGTGAGGACAAGCGACCTAACTACTTTCAAGAATCTCATCATATTTCTATGCACGAGCCATCTACCACGGAGTTGGTGCCTTTGTCAATTTATCCAACGAACACCGAATTACAGTATAAATCTTAATACTAATAATACAATTTTCAGTTAAAGATAATGTTTGATTAAATATATGTTTAGAAATAATGGTGTCGTACATACGGGTGACGTTACTAGCAATACGGTTACTTCATTGGGGTCACCTGAGGAACGGTCACCGACATCAACTGACCAACAGCAATCACAGCAGCCTAGTACTGCGACTTTGCCCGCGAAACCACCCTACTCGTACGTAGCTCTGATCTCGATGGCCATTGAACACTCGCCATACAAACGAGTCACGTTATCAGAAATTTATAAGTACATCACGGCTAAGTTTCCATACTTCGAAAAGAATAAAAAAGGTTGGCAGAATTCAATAAGACACAATTTGTCTCTGAACGAGTGTTTTGTCAAAATACCTAGAGATGGCGGTGGTGATAGAAAAGGCAACTATTGGACTTTAGGTACGTAATAATAGTACATTGTTTTAATTTGTTAAGTTATAGAATCAATATTATTCAACATAAATATATAATTTAGTAAATTCAAACTATCAAAATTTTTTTCATTTAAGTAAGGACATTGATTAAATTATTATTAAATCAAATTAAATGATCAGTAATAACATAAAATGAACTATATTGAAATGGTTATGAATTAAGTATAAAACACTTCATGTAAACATGATATATTAAGAACAAAATGTTATCATAAAAGATTAATTTATTGGCATTTAAATTAAAATTTTTAAAGATTTTCTGATAGTATTAGTTTATGAGTAAATATCTATGGACATTATATAATAGGTTTTGACATAACCTACACAAATTAATAGTATTTATTTTTATTATTAATCACTTGAAATTTTATTAACCCATAAACATACATTATTTATAATAAAAACGTTAATAATATTGTATCTTAAACATATACATTACGTATGTACATATAATTTAGATATAAACACATTATTTCTAGATTATAAAACTAAATTCGTTATATTTCGGTATTCAATTGTATTATTCGTTACAGATGTTATATTAGGTTAATATATATAATATACATGTTAGGTTAGTATTTTTTAAACAAGTTAAATTGGATATTACTTAATTTATACAATATTATATTATGTTTTTTTATTTTTTTAACTATATATACATTTGAACATTAGTTTCATGTAAAAAAAAAAAATGATTCCAAGAATAATGTTCGTAATGTTTCGTAATATTCTATGTTTCATTGATGTCTCGTCAAATTTTAACCTACATAATACAGGCATTTTGTTTTTAGTTTTATATATTTTCAAAGTTCAAATGATAATAAAAAAATAGATCCAGGGAATAGAGACATACGTATAATCCCAAATGATAACAATTAAAAATGATTATTATATTACATATAAGTACTTCTAAAAACGTATTACCAATTAAAAAAAAAGGATCAAACTAATGTTAATAAACTAAAATAAGAGTGTAAATAATAACATATTGAATTCTTAGTTTCAAATGTTTGATATAACATATGATATTTTTATAAAATTTTGGATTTTATTATGAGTTGATTTAAAATTTTATTTAATATTCATTGCAATCCATAATTTTCATCCGTAATGACTTCAATATTTATTTGATCGAATATTCTTGAATTAAATTATTTATGAACTACATTATTTGGTATCCATAAAGTCATATTTAAGTTATATAGATGCTAATAATATACATACCGATTAACTCATATAATTTTGACGCATGTATAAGTACACTAAATTACAATCAAATTAAAATATTATAAATATTTTGTTAGTTTCATTAAACATCGTATACCTTGTCTTGTTATAGAAAATGTACACGTATAAGATACATAGATGTTATGTACCTATATTAATCTGTAGTACATTTTAGAAGTATATCTAATGCTAATATGTTCAGCATTAATTTTTACCAAAACTTATAATTTCCAAACTAGTTTTGATTACGAGCGATAAAGATTAAAAATTGCATGATGTTGTTTTGTTTGTTTTTACATTGAAACGACAGCTGATGATTGTAACAATATATGAAAACTGCTGTTATAGCACTATTGAAAATATATGATAAAGATTTGTACGCGTACGTTGCGCTTAGCTCACCAAAACACGAAATTCATTACGTTTCAATAATGTCATTATGTTTTATTTATTATTATTAGACCTAATATTATAATCCAGGAAAAAATTTGAATTGCCCGCTTCATAAGCACTTTGTTTTTAACTAATAATATATATATATATATATATATATATATATATATATATATATATATA